TTAGTTGGTATTAAGTGGACCCTTTTTATAGCTACCAACTCAATACAATACTAACTTGAGTTCGCACTATTTTGCGAATGTTTTGAAAGTGGCTATCAACCCAAAAGAGAGATAGATACTTTCAGGTTTTTCGCTCTCTTCCTTTCTTATCTGAAAGTGCTTTAAAGTAATAAACTCTCCTTTTATTGTCTAATTCTTATCTCTTATCATATTCTATGATATAAACAGATTTAGTATACTCGTTGACAAGAGGCCTTGATTTGCACTACCCAATGCTTAGCAATATGTTGTTCGGATCGATGTTTAGCAATAATTCATCTTGATCTATGCCTAACCCAAATCAATACTAACACGTACACCTCTTTACTCAAGTCTATTTGCCAACACCTGCAGCATAATTCCTGGCTCCGGCAAGTAAAAGCTAGTACCAGATTGCCGTATTGGGTTAGTATTGTTATCATAACCCCATACTAATCCAAATACCAACCCAAAAGAGAACTGCTTTACCTTTATACCAACCCAATCAATACTAACCTCAACTTATCATATCCAAGTACTTCTGTCGGTGTTGGCCAATGAGCCATATCCAACTCATGGCCATGGAAATACTAAAATGTCATCAGATACCTCTAATGAAGTGCATAAGCTCATGCCATCCTATTGGGTTAGTATTGGCTTGAAGGTATTCAGTACGGCCTGTAACATAAACTTTTAGGCGACTGCTAGATTAGTATCAATATCTAGGCATTCACAAGTTGAGAGATCTTTGCCTTTCTGGCTCCTATTGGGTTAGTATTGGTATTTTAGGTATAATCTGAGGATGAATTTGTCTATCCAGTTGACATCGTTAAGAAAGTCTATATTAGTCATATTGGGGTGGAATAGACCTATTTTGGATATTGATAAATGGGTTGCTAGTGGCCAAATGAACTTCTGCACATTTGATGTGAGTCCATGAATACTCATGCGGATAATGTATCGCGACTCTTCGATCTCCTCGATTTGGTTTCGGAACTGCTCTCGTTTCTTGTCATCATTCAATACCAACCCAATACTAACCCAATAGTAATAAGAATCTCAAGAGGTGCCTTCGTAGCATTCAACTCTGAGTTTTCGAACAGTGTTAAGAGCTGGACTAGGACTAATAAACCAGCAGGGCCGCGAGGATTCGATATCTCAGCACTTTCCGCATTGAGCATGATTTTGCTGAACTTCTTTAAGACATCTAGTAACTCCATCAGTTCACATTCTTCCCAATCAAGTTTCAGATAAACCCAATCTTTAGCTTGCAACGCAGTACTAGATAGTCCATACTTTCTGAATTGATTATCCTCGTTGATATCAAACATTCTCCAAACAGGAGTGGGTTTTAGTATAGATTTGTTGCTGCTACTTATAAACTTCCGAAGAAGCTTTTCTTGCTCTGGGTCTAACTTAGTATATAATCAATACTAATCCAACTCGGATAGTTTAAGTTCATATCTATTAAAAGATGACGTAGAATCTTGATCAGCAGATTTGCTACTGAATGAAGTTTACCGTCCATGCCTGTTTCATTGGGTTAGTATTGATTGATTGAGTTCGTGAATTGGATGGTTCTGAATCTGTTTACTTACACTTTCACTTTTGACTTCCATTTCTTTAATCATATCATCAAGTTGAGCTAGTGCTCCTTCAATTATCCTATTGGGTTAGTATTGAGTTTGTCATTTATCAAGAATTGATCTATCTTTGATTCCATAACTTTTGTTAGATGAATCCATTCTGATATATCAATTGGGTTAGTATTTCCATTAGTTCTGTTACCATGTTCGTATTGGGTTGGGTTTTTAACCCAATAGGATGGTATTGTATTGAGTTAGTATTGGGATTAGATAAGCACTTTCAAATCCGCTTCTGTTTAATTCGAGGAATCGTTTTTGTAGGCCCTTTAAGTCACTCTCAATTTGGTTTAGTCGTTTTGTTAGATTTTCTGGCTTATTTATGTTTGTTATTCGCGATTCCTTTTGTATCCGGATCTTCTTACATTCATATAACCATTCACTTAGTTTCCGGATAATTACATCAATACTTTTCTGTACTACTTCTTCTCTGACTAGTTGAGATATCAAATAAGCCTCCTCCTGCCTGAGTCTCTCTATTGATTTGTCAGAGAAGCTGCAATCGCTTTGGGTTGAGTTCATGTTCTCAGAAGCCTCATGTTGGCACTGCTTTATTCGATATATTTGCTTTGTTTGATTCTTTAAGATTCTCAGCTCTTTTATTGCATTGGTTATCTCATCATAAACCGATACTATTTGACTATCTATATCTAACATGAGCCTTTTAGATATATCAAACAACCCCATCTTATCTGAATCCTCATCAGCACTACACCAGACACAACCCAATCCAATAACCAAGCAAACTACTTGATAAGCATTCAAAGAGTATTCATTTAACCTTTTGTTCATTTTACAAGTTGCTATCTCACATTTTATTTATAGACTATACTATATCAATATCAAAGATATTCTAGTCTTAGCCAAGCAAATTCTCTAAATTAG